TCTCTCTCTCTCTCTCTCTCTCTCTCTCTCTCTCTCTCTCTCTCTCTCTCTCTCACTCTCTCATTCTCTCACACACTCTTTCTCTCTCTCTCTCTCACTGGCCACGAACATCGTCCATCGAAGTCGTCCTTTCCTCAGGTTCAACTTCTCAATCACGCGGGTAGAAGCCCCAGGCTCGTTATCAGGCATACTTGCATCACCGGAACATTTCGGCAGACTTCGGCCTTGGCTCATTCATCGGCAACATCCACTTGCACTCCTCATCATCCGTTGTCGGCAGACATCCGGCAGACAGGTATTTATTTTCTCGACCATTTGGGGTTGTGCTCAACGTGTCGGTACTCGAATACCGTCGCCAGAGCAGGGACACGTGCAGATTCATCACCCCATCATCGTCATCGCTTCGAAACTCACGCACATCCATCAACTCGCATCCGCACCATCCAATCTTGTTGTCTTTGTATTGTGTTCGATAGCTCTCTAGTCAAATCAAATTGCACGACAGTACAACCGTGGGGTGATCTGTAAACAATAAAAGCGAGCCAAATATCAATAACCGTCGCTCACTGCTCGGTATGTATTTGCATATTTTTTTTTTATGCGTATTTTTTAATAATTTTTATTTTAACTTTTTCTTTTCTTTTCTTTTCTTTTTTAAACAAATTTTTACTATTATAAATGGGATTCTCTGTGTTGTTGAATACACGTGTCTGTACACGGGTCGGGATCACGACACAAATGGGATTATAATATAATAACGACAAAACGAAACTGTATATGTAGGAAAAGTTATAATTCTTTTTTTTTAAACGAAAATAAAATATAATAATCATGACTGGAATATTTAAACAAATTTTTTTTCTTTTAAAAAGAAAGAATTATAGCTTTCCAATTTCCAGAATCAAACTGTTATAGTGTTGTTCACGAATCTTCATCACCATCCATTTATGTTGCACGTTTACTTCTTTAATACTATATACACTCGTCTTTCTTGTTTCTTTGTATTTCCTAACTATATATATATATATATATATATATCATTAAAATCGTTCGTCGAGAAGTTAATCTTTCTTAGTGTGTAAATATTATAGAGAAATAGCTTAGGGTGATAGCATCAAATGGAGAAAGATGCAATAGTAAAGAATGAGAATAATAAATAAATTAATATGGATAATAAGTGATCAAATATACACGCATCACACATAATCCACACTAATAATAATCGATATTATAAAAAAAGAAGAAAAAAAAAAAGGCAGGAAGGGGGAAATAAGATTATTGATGCAACAAAAAAATTACTCACCAACTAGATGTGGAATTAGCAACATTCTTGAGCTTTCGAATCTCTTTAGTTGCCCAGTTGGCCAGAGTTTTGGTCTTATCAATGCGTGATCGTCTAGCTTTAGTTAAGAGCTCTGTAAGCGGTTCAGTCTCAACCATTGGCAAAAGTTTTACTCCGAAAACAGTGACCAAATCACCAAGCAATCCCACCGAGGCTGAAATGTTGCCTTCGGAATGTTCACGATCTTGAGCTATTGATGTAATAAACTGAATGATAAAGGGTACATGCGGCTCCACCAAAGCAATCGCAGCGTCTGAACAAGGATTTGTTTCGTCACCACGTAGTCCTTGCACTATACCAGTGTAAGCCTCAAGAACACCTTCGCGTAATTCATTTAAATAATCGATCATATCGTAATCGCTTCTATCCACGTTCGCCTGGGAAGCCTGAGCCAACGTTTGAAGTACTACATCCAAGTATTTCTTGAATTCTGGACCAATACTAAGAGCAACATCACCGAAAACAGAAAAGATTTGAGGTTTCACAGAACGATTAACCGAATCATTGCTAAGATTTTCTAGCAACAGGGTCATAATCTCGTCGCAGTAAGGTAACATCTTGCTCTTCAAGGCGCGGCAGATATCACCAGTCAAACCTACCGCAGCGCAACAAACTTGATATTCTGCATAATTTTTTAAACCAAGGCAAAGATAGGGTTTGAACGCATCCATGTACTTTAAGAAACGTTCTCCTAGCACTTCGACCAGAGTCGATACAGCCATGAGAGCATCTTCCTGCACGCCCTCGGCTTTGCAAGAATTCGAATTGAACATGGATAATAACGCTGTCATTATTACATCAGAGATATGAGGAGCATCTTCTGGTGTAACTTTACGCAGTACGGATTGTAAAGTTGCACATAACAACGATTGTAAATCGTTGTATTGAGCACGATCCGAATGGCTCTGGATATGTGTCTCCATTTGCAGTACCTGCTGCAATCTTTCCAGAATTACCATCGTCGTCTTCTGCACGGTTATATAACAATCGCGCGGAGAGTTTTTTACCATATCCATTAGTGCTTCGTATGCAGCTGACCTTAAGTTAGCTTGAGCTCCATCCGGACGATCTGTTGTTTCCAATAATCTCTGAATAATAAAATCAAAGTATTGAGACATGCAATAAGTTTCTGGATTTTGCCCTTCTAAACTTTCAGCGGCCTCGTAACTAGCCTCTGCAAGACCCGTAAATGCCCAACAAACGTTTGCTGCAACACGAGGTTCTGCCTTCAAACCATTTATCAAAGCTTCTAACAATGGTTTCAGGTATGTCTCACTAATCGCCGCTTCTGGTATGATCTCACAAATTCGACCAAACGTCCATGCAGCTGTATCCCTTACCGCGACACTGCTATCGTACATTAGTTCGATAAGTGTTGGCATTGCTTGCTCTACCAAAGGTTTCAAGGTGGCATGATCGACGCCACCGAGAATCGAACCAAAAGCCATCAAAGCAGCATCTCTGTACCTCCAATCTGGACTTTTGATACTGTCTTTGATGAACGGCAAAACGAATGGAACAATGGCATCTTCGCAACAAGATGATAATAACATCAAACATACTCCAGCTGCTTTTGAAGGATTCCAATCGTCTTCGTCATCGAATTCTTCTTGTTTAGTGAGTTTCTTCATCAGAACAGGTACCAAGTATTGCAAAGCACCCTTTGCATAATGCCTCGATACTTTGACCGGCGGTCGACCACCATCGGAGGCTTCACCTTCTTCCATGGCTAAATCTACTTCTTCATCAGATACGTTTGACCAAAACTCAATTCCTTGCAGTGCAACTTCATCAATATCTGATTTCATAGCTTCTAAAGTAATCGGAAAAAGTGCTGGAGCCATGTAAGGTTCCATATATTGATAATATAACGACATAATCTTCACAAGACACTGTAATGCTGCTACTTTAACTTGTGTGTTTAAAGATTGCGTCGCCTCGCATACCACTTCCATAATGAAGTTTCGTTCTGTCTGTATACATAAGGAATAAAAATAAATAATATATTTTTATTAAAAAAGTATTTATTATATCCTATTATTATAATTATACTAACCTCTATCTCAAAATTTCCTTTGGTAAATTCTAATGAATTGTAGAGTGCACTTGTAGCTGCAAGACGAACATAATGCGAAGTACTAGATCCTTTCATACCATGAATAATAGCTGTGAGAATTTCATTAGACTGAGGTACCAAAACGTCGCTTTCTATATCTTGACAAATATAACCAATGGCTTCTAGAGTTGCTTCCTTTAACATTTCTGTACTGTTTGGATTTACAACATTATTAACTAACAGCTGAATAACATTGGTCCATTCACGAACAGGTAATTCAGCAACAGCTACGTATGCAACACACTGTGGTGCAGAACCTGGCCTATTGTTCTCTGTTCCAAGTGCCCCAAAAATCTATCGATAAATACATATAAAATAAATATTTTTGCTATTTAAACATAGGAAAAATTTAAAATTGGAAATAGAAATATTTTATTAGAAATTTTATTTAGAAATAAAATTTACATATAAACGAAAAAATTTTTCTTACATTTTTCTTAATATATTCTCTTGTTTCTACAGGAATCGCAAGCCAACGTTGTTGATATTGATATTTTAGGTCTGGATCTTTGGATGTAAGTTGATTTTTAAGCTGAAGACCTGCTGCCATACGAGCAACAGGGCTTGCAGCAGCAGTGACAAGTACGCTGCTAAGTCTTTGCAAAAATTCATGCTAAAAAGAAAATAATTTTCTTTATAACCTCGTATATATTTTTATATTTGAAGAAACATTTGTTATTGGAAAAAAAAAATAACTTACGAGATTAGTCCTTGCCGCTTGCTCCAGAAAATTCTGAGCTGCTTCCAATTCATTTTTGTCTAAAATTGCAAGTAAAAATGCATTTAATCAATATTATATTCTCTATATATTATCTCGTTTAATATCGTGTTAAAAAAAAAATGGAAATTAATAATAGAGGTTAGAAAAGCAAGATGCACAAGTAAGTACTCGTTGTGCCAACCGACAACGGGGACGTGCAGTACGAGTAACCGTCACATGGGACAATACTTTTCCGGCCATGAACAAAGCCCCTAGCAACAGCCAAGCGGAACACAATACGACGTATTTTCGTAAAAACAACAGATTCCGATCAAATACTTGAATATTACGGGCAAAAAATTCCAGATGGATCAATGAAACCGTTAATTAACAATGATACTAGATACTCCATGAATACACGAAAAGAAGTACGAAAAGGACGCGCACGCAATAGGACTTTACTTTTTCAGGCAGGTCGTAGAAATGATAAGAAGCATTCGAAAAAAAGAAAGAATGCTTCACAAAACAAGAGAGATAGCAAGGTCAAGGGATCGAAGTCAATGAAAAAGAATAGTCGAGATTTTATGATGTCGCCAATAACTCAAAAACTGATTAATCAAAACGACTTACCTGATGAGACTGTTCTCTCTAGAACCTGGATAAGTTGCACCGTCGTTGGATCCATTTGCATGATTACGGCTTCTTTCAACTATCGATTTCCGTTGGAAAATGTAACTTTTTATGCCTCAATAGGAAATGTCTCGTTGTCGCGACCGGCGGACAGCCACATGTAGCCACCACCGAATCAACTAGCTCAACGACGTACCCCCTTCTACCCACTTCCTGCTAGTACTCGATTTCTGCTTCCTTCCACAACGTGCGGCGTAGTAATATCAACTCCTTTTGATATTCTCGCGCCTACGTATACACGTATTTCTTGACCATTAATATGCTCGACGTACGATTTGTACCGATCGGTTACTTCCTTTAGACCCCGCCGTAAATTTCACAAATGTTGTAAAACTACTGTCACGAGTGTCACGTTTCTCGAAGTGATCGTCGTGTCTCTGCGAGCGCGGACTATTTTCTTTGTGCGCCGTGCGAAATTTGTTTCGCGCATGCGTACATAGATAACAAGCGCCATCTGCGCGCGCTGCCAGCGCTCTCACGCAAGCGTGCTGAATGTAACCGTTATGCCGGTTAATTTTGAAATCATACATATTGAAACTAGCAGTCTGCTATTAAATTATAATAAATTATATTTCTATTTTAATAGATATAATTTCGTAAATATAGAATTAATAAGAGGAAAAAATTTGTTTTAATATATCTTCTTGAAAAGATAAAAAAATATAAAAAATTATATAAATTTAATTTTTTTCATAATATATAATTTAATACAAACGACAAAGAAAGCGTTTTCTTTCAATTTCATATCTCCTTTTTAATACTTCTTTTTTTTTTAATCTGAAAAAAATAAATAAAATATAATAAACATCGATCAATTATTGTAATAAATAAAATTTGAAAAGAAGAATTTTGAAAATTACGGGTTTACAAGACTGGTATTAAACGCCAGGTGTACGTTACACAAAATACAAGACCCTCGACAACCGTTAGATTCCCTAAAGATTATAGACAACTTCGAATACCTGTTTCATTTTGTATAAACTGATCAATGAGTTACAATGCAACATCACTGAACAGACCAAGATACTGAAACGAAAAAAGAAAGAGCATCGGTTATTTTAATAGATTTAATGAAACGATATACAGAATACATTTGCTTTCGTAATGCATCGCAACGCATTGTCCGCGTGCCTTACCATCTATATCACATATCAATTTTTCTTTTATTTATAAAATATAATGGTCGCAATGTGTTTTTTTGTTTTTCTCACGTCATGCCTTTGAATTGCTTTCTCGTTCGCATATCGAAAGTATATATAATATATTTATTTATTTATATTATTTCATTATATTTATATATTTATAAGTATATATATATATAATAATAATAATAATTATATATTATATCATTTTATATTATATTATATCGTATCATATATTATGTATATGCATTATATATGTATATAAATATGTACATATATATAAATATACATATATATGGCTACATATATTAATCAAGCGAGAGGGAACTGTATGTGATTCGGCACAAAATTACATTGAATCAGGCCGCGGAAAAAGGTTTCGTGAATGTGCGCGCATTGTAAAACATCTTGAATATTTTAGAATATTTTACAAATTGTTAATAGAACGTAATGTTAGAACGGTGTTGCTAAATATCGACGGTCGTAGGGGTGAAAAGGCCGGTGGTCGGGAAACTTCCCTTGCAATTCCTTTTATTGTCGTTGATGAACAAATTGCAAGGAGAACACAGATTGTACTTGATTAAATTAACGGCGAATTATCGATCGATTTCAATAATTCGCACCTCCTTTTCAATTGTACGGCCGTCAATACACATCGACATTATTATTGATCGGCATTATTTTTTTATTCATTACTTCCATTTTGCCTTTCCATATTTCCCTTCCCTTCTGCCCTGCTCTACTTCCTCCCTGCTTGCTCTCCTATTCTATATCTTACGAATCCTTTCGACGTGCTTGATGACCGACAGATTTATTTGACCAACAGATCGCGCGGATACATTGGGCGTGTATAAATTTATTCATTTATTTTTGGTGCAATATCTATCACTTCCGGTACGTGCTTTGTAATCGTGCAAGTAGTGTACATAACTGTATCCGCGGATATTCGTACAGCAAAGTACAGATCGATCGTTGTAGAAACGTCCGTCCACGAAAACGAGAGAGTCTGCCATTTATTTATTTATTTAATTTTCTTCTTTTTCTTTTCTTTCTTTCTTTTTTCTCGTTATATAATTTTATAAAATCCGATCAGGGAAGGAGAAACGATACACCACTCGATTGCGAAGATGGAAATTTTCTATCATATAATTTGGACGGAAAGGGAACGAGTTTCGATTTCGAACTCCTCGTATAGACAACCGCGATTCGCGCAGAAAATCGAACGTACCACATTGCAACATTCAATTTTATTTTTCCAAAATGAAAAAAAAAAAAAAGACGACTCAAAAAAAAAAAAAGTGAAATCATCCGTTGATTGAACATTTATTATTACATCGAGGGAAGAGGATAAAATACACCTAATGGAATTGGCCTTTTTTTTTTTTCATTTTACAGCGATGACAATTAATAAGTAACAACAATACTACGACCTCGTTCTTCATTCGAGATATTTCTAC